TCAAACTTGAATTAATTTTGGCAAATCTAAAGCAGTACACGTAAATTGTAAACTCAATAGATTAATCAAAACTTTATAAACGTTAAGCAAAAAAACGTAATGATTGTGGCACAAATTGATACAAATTGAATGTGGAAAAATTGAAGGTGGCAGAATTGATATAAATTAATGCATAAAAATCGGCAGAATTGATACAATGTAAAGTCTGCAGAATTGATACAAATTAATGTATGTGCTAGCGTAAATGTGTGGCGGAAGCAAATTGATTCTTGAAAAATGCTAGACGACCAGCATGGATGATCGCGCCCTCACAGCCGAGGCATGGGTCCCACCCGAATAAAATAATCCCAACCCCCCATGTGTGTGTGTGTACGGTCACCGACGCGATTTTCCCCGCGGTTCCTGTAGCAGAGTGCTTGATTCTTTACATGGCAAAATGTGTGGCATGACCAAATTCATCGTGTGGCAGAATTATGGTAGGCAAATATAAAAATTAACAATTGTACACTAGAAAATGCATGATTGTACATATAGACTATTGTAGAAAATTCAGATGCACACAAATTAATGTGTTTGTATGAATAAAAAAAATTCACTTGTTACCAAATTAATTTTGGTACATATGATAGATTATTACGTTTAAAAAAAATTACTACATTCTCTAAACTTTGAAGAATTAAGCTTTCGTGTTGATAATGAGTTATGAAAAGAGAAAAAAGAGAAGAGAATAAGAGAAGTCAATAGACTTGTGTGTATTATAATGAGAACCAAATTCCTATATTTATAGGGAAGGAATATGGATACATATGGTAATAATATTTTAGGCTGCAGGGGTAAAAGTTTCATTTACATTAAACCCTAATTTAATTTTCTTGTACGACAGTGATGTATTTTTCCCCTATCCTTATCCCCACATTGTAATAAAACAAAATTGGAATTTAACCCAATTGTTAAATATATGCCCAAGTTTCACAATTGCCAAAAAATACGGCCACAGACATCGACCTAACCCCAAAAGGCAATTCAAGCTTTTCTCCAAAACACTAGCACCGTGTGTTGCTGCCATCCACAAAAAATGCTACTCGTTAGAGCTACCGCGACATTGTGGACTCATCCCTCCCAATCAATCTATATGTCGCAACAATGATTGAGCCCCTGTTTGATAACCATTATTTGAAAACTCTTTTTTCTATATATTTATTTTCAACAACATATTCACATAATAAAATATTCTGTACCTAAATCCAAAATATTTTTTCTATTTAACAACACATTCTTCCAAAAATCATTATTTTGGCTAAATAACGGCCATCAAACGGGGTTAAAGGCATCACCGTTGTATGGGAGCCACGATGGCACCATCCATGGGTGTCGCTACATCGTATTGAAGTGGTACCCATGGTCCCATTGTCGTTGTGTCTTATGTACAGTGGTAGCGCTACTGCCGAACCCATGGGTGCTGATGCAAGTTGAGTTCCTCCTTTTTTTGTCGACCATGGTGTCTGCTTGTCATTCTCCTTTGAGTTCGAATGGAAAGGGTACAGAGAAAGATGGCATAAGATCAATAGCGATGTAGTTGAATATTTCTCAACGAGTTATGCGAACTAAAACAAGGAAAGATTTTAGTAGCTCTATGATTTCAGTATTACTTTTGCTTCTATTTTATTTGTAGTTTGACATGCTCATATCATAATATAAAAATAACTACATGATTGTATTCTATTTTCTGTAGTGGGTTGTTGCGTTTTTTATATCGCAAGTGTACAATATCGTAACAAGTAATATAGTGGATCTTTGAGTCCAAATTATCGTTCCCACGAGTATTATACTTTAGGTATTAATTAGATTTTTCTAACTCTTATT